TCCAGGGCTGTTAACCTCCCCTGCTGACTTCAGTTTTTGTTTGCATGGTTATGTAGCAGTTACCTTCCATTTATGGCACTTGTTATGAGAATTTTTTTTTAAAATAAGTTTAAGAAATAGAGTCACAGGTGTGGAAAACAATGTTATGGTTACCAGTTCAGAAAGTAGCAGGGGATAAACTGGGAGACTGGGATTGACATGTACACACTACTATATAGGAATAGATACTAATAAGCAATACTGTGCTGCACAGGGAGCTCTTCCCAATACTTTGAAATGACCTATATGGAAAAAGAATCTAAAACAGAGTGGATATATGTATATGTATGGGCTTCCCAGTTGACACTGGTAGTAAAGAATCCATCTGCCAATGTAGGAGACACAAGAGATATGGGTTCAATCTCTGGGTCAGGAAGATCCCCTGGGGGAGGAAATGGCAACCCACTCCAGTATTCTTGCCTGGAGAATCCCGTGGACAATGGAGCCTGGTGGGCTAAAGTCCATAGGGTCACAAAGAGTCAGACATGACTGAGTGAACACGCACACATGTGTAACTGATACACGTCTCAGTACAGCAGAAACTAACACAACACTATAAATCCAATAAACTCCAAGAAAAATTTAAAAATAAAAAAACTTACTCAAGCTTTTCTTTTAAAAGTCAGTTAAAGAAAATGCAATCCTGGAAGACATAATCTGGAAAAATAAAAGTGAGAGGTGAATAACAAATGGTTGGGAACACCAGCCTAAACCACACCTTGTAGAGTCTATGGGCTGACATGTTGCAGTATGAGATAAGATTAAGATTCAAATAATGAATAACTGGCAATCTGGAAGACTTTATGAATAGTTAGTTATATCTAAAGCTGTGTCTGGAGGTTGGGAAAGGTTTTTCTTTTTTAAATATGTTTTATTTATTTGGTGGCACCATATTTTAATTGTGGCATGTGGGGTCTAGTTCCTTGACCAAGGATGGAACCCAGGTCCCCCGCATTGGGAATGTGGAGTCTTAGCCACTGCACCACCAGGGAAGTCCCTGGGAAAAGATTTAGGCTGAATGGTGAGGGCTTTCTAGGAGGATCCAAGCTAGTTTTGCTTCATCAAGAGGCAATAACCACTGAGCTGTTTCAGATGTATTTCGCATCATCTCGAGCTCGTTAACTTGAAAGTTCTTGACTAGAAAGCTCAGAAGTCTACATCATTGTCCCCCACGATGAAATCGTTTGTTATTTCCTGCATACGATTGAGAAAACTACTTGTTTGCTGAATGGAAGGCATGAGGGCAAGAAAGCTTTTCTAGATCAGCACAGCCTGCAGAGGCTGGAGAGCAAAACTGGAAACGTGGCTCAGCTTTGATGACTCACAGTCATTAATACCTTCACCACATTGACTACAGCACAGGAATGGCTTCAGTTCTAAAAGCATTCACAAGCCAAAGCAGCTCAGTGGTCGAACTGACACAAAGCTCACATTAGAGACCAATGTCCCTTATGAATATGGATGCAGAAATTCTTGACAACATCTCAGCAAGCTAAACCCGGGCTTCTCAGGTGGCTCAGCAGTAAAGAATCCGCCTTCTAATGCAGACACAGGTTTGATCCTTGGGTCAGAAAGATCCCCTAGAGAAGGAAATGGCAACCCACTCCAGTATTCTTGCCTGGAGAATTCCACAGACAGAGGAGTCAGGTGGGCTATATATAGTCCATGGGGCTGCAAAAGACTAGGACGTGACTTAGCGACTAAACAACAACAAACCCAACTACATATTAAAAAGATTACACATCATGACCAAATGGTATTTATCCTGGAAAAGCAGGGGTTCAACATAAGAAAATTAATCTATGTAGTACACCACGTTAATAGGACAAAGGGGAAAAGAACCACATGATCATCTCAGTGAAAACAGAAAAAGCATTTGACAAAATCCGATACACTTTCATGGTAAGAACACTCAGAAAACTAGCAATAGATGGGAACTTCATCAACATGTATATGGCAAAACCATAGCCAACATTATACTCAATGGTTAAAGTCTGAAAGCTTTCTCTTAAGATCAAAAATGAAACAAGGTTATCTGCTTTCACCCACTGCTATTCAATATTATACTGGTAGTTTTACTAGCACAATTAGATAAAAAAAATAAATAAAAGACACCCAAATTGAAAAGGAAAAAGGAAAACTATCTCTATTCTCATACGGCATGATCCTGTATGTAGAAAATCTCCAAGAATCCACACACAAAAAAACTATTCCAGCTAATAAACATTAAGCATAAATCCATGGCTAATTCATTTCAATGTATGACAAAAACCACTGCAATGATGTAAAGTAATTAGCCTCCAACTAATAAAAATAAATGGGAAAAAAAAAACCCAGAAAAATAAACATTAAGCAAAGTTGTAGGATACAAGATCAACACACAAAAAATCAGTTATGTTTCTATACACCAACAATGAGCAATCTAAAAAGGAAATTAAGAAAATAATTCAACTTAAAATAGCATCTAAAAAAATAAAATACCAAAGAATAAATTTAACCAAAAAAGTGAAGGACTTGTACACTGAAATAAAAAATAAAATGCAAAAGGAAAATAAAGAAAACCTTAAAAAATGAAAAGACATTCTGTGTTCATGGAAACATAATATGGAATGGAAAACATAATATTGTTTAAATGGCAATTCTACCCAAAGCAATCTACAAATTCAAGGAAATCCCATTAAAATTTCGACATCTTTTTTTTTTTTTTTTTGGCAGAAATGGAAAGGCTAATTCTTAAGTTCATGTGGAAATATAAGGGGTCCCAAATATTTAAAAAGAACAGTGCTGGGCAACTCACATATCTCCATTTTAAAACTTACTACACAACTACATGTATTGGGTTTTGTTGTTCAAAGAAAGGCCTGAGAGCCAGAAGGCTAATGGTGTAGATTTCAGTTCTAGTCCAAAGGCCTGAGAACCAGGAGTGCTAAGGGCAAGAAAAGATCAATATTCAGCACAGATCAACAAGCAGAAAGAGGGCAAATCCAACTTCCCTCCACCTTTTTGTTCTACTCAGCCTTTCAACACATTGCATGTTACTCACTCACATGAGGTTGGACCATTTACTTTACTCAGCCCACTAATTCACATGCTACTCTCTTCCAGAAACAATTTCACAGACACACCCAGAAGTAACATTTAATCAGGTATCTGGGTATCTGTGGTCTGGTCAAGTTGACATAAAATTGGCCGTTACACTACAGTAATCAAAATGATGTGTTACTGGCATAATGGTACACATATATATCAATGCAACAAAACTGAGAGTCTAGAAATAATCCCATACCTTTGGTCAATTGATTTTCAACTAGCATACTAAGATTATTCAATGGGGGATGAATAGTCTTTTCAACAAATAACACTACAATAACTAGATATCCACTTGCAAAAAAATGAAGTTAGACCCCTACCTCACACTGTATATAAAAGTGAACTCAAAGTGGATCAATAACTGAATTATAAGAGCTAAAACCATAAAACTCTTAGAAGAAAATTTCAGGGTAAATCTTCATGACCTTGTATTCAGCAATTGATTCCAAATACAAGACCAAAAGAAAAATAGAAATATTGGACTTCATCAAAATTTGAAACTTTTGTACATTAAAAGACATTATTAACTAAGTGAAAAGACAACTAGCAGTATGGGAAATAATAGTTGCAAATCATATATCAGAGAAGTGTCTAGTATCCAGAATATATAAAGAGCTCTTAAAATTCAACAACAAAAAGAAAACCTAAAATTTTAAATGGCAAAGGATTTTAATAGACATACAAGTAAGAAATACAAATGGCCAAGAAGCATATGAAAAGATATCTAACATCATTAGTCATTAAGAAAATGCAAATCAAAACCACAATAAGATACTACCTCACAGCCACTAGGATGGATATATTAAAAAAAGAAAGAAAGAATAGAAAGTAACAGGTGTTTGTGAGGATGCGGGGAAACTGGAAACCTCATACATTGTTGGTAGAAATGTAAAATGGCATAGCTGCTATAAAAATAGCTTTAAAAAAAATAGCTTTAAAAACTCAAAAAGTTAAATACAGAATTACTACATAAGGTAGCAATTATAATCCTAGGTATAGTGGTGGTGGTTTAGTCACTAAGTTATCTCTGACTCTTACCATCCCATGGACTATAGCCCACCAGGCTCCTCTGTCCGTGGGATTTCCCAACAAGAATACTGAAGTGGGTTGCCATTTTCATCTCCAGGGTATCTTCCTGACCCAGGGATCAAACCTGGGCCACCAGGGAATCTTTGTTGATCAGCTGCTAACTCCCCATTTCAGTGTTATTTTAACAGGAATTGCACGTGTGAGAAAGGTAGAGAGTATGATAATTTTCTCAGCTCTTCCGGAATCTGATGGCCAAGGTCTGGATGTGCCCCTGGCCCAGCCCGCCACCCCAGCTCACCTTTCTCAGCATCAGACTCTGTGTCACTGTTAGTTAGCTTTCTTTCATCCTCTCAAGTGTGTGCTCTTGAGGACAGGGCCTGGGTCTTGGTCACTCCGGGCCCGGTGGCCCTGGGGTACCCAGAAGGCTCTCTCGGTTAAGTAACGACTCAACAAGGAAGGAAGTGACTGGAGTTAGGGTCCTGCTCCATCAGCACTCTCGAGAGGCCCTCCTGAGCACCCTGACTTCTCTGAGCCTCATCTGCTTCTTTGGAATCACATGGAGTCATGACCCTGTTCTGACCTCCCACGGCAGAAAGCGATCACACACGCGCGATCACTTGGTGCGAGACAGCGGCGTCGCCTCCCAAAACCTTTGAAACGCGTGGAGGATGAGGGCAGAGACCTCACCTTTCTCACAGCAGACTCCCGCCCTCTCCCCCGGCAGGGCCCTCCCTCCCTGCTCCCCGCTCCCTCCGCCACCCCACCCCCACCCCGTCCCCAACTGCCCCGCCCGGACCTTCTCTGCCAGCTCCGCTGGGACGCGGTGTTCCGCGCGCGCCGAGATGCAGGCGCGGCTGTGGCTCCTCCTCGCCGCGCAGCTGGCAGGTAAGGCGGGGAGACCCTGGGGGCGCGGGGCTGGATGCGAGGGCTCTGCGCTGGGCCCGGAAAGGGCCTGAGGCGTGAAGTTTGGGGAAAGCTGTCCCCGCAGGATGCCCAGACCCCGGATCTGCCGGGACACCCGGGAGGCAGCCTCGGTCCCTGGGGATGGAAAACCTCCCAGGGAACCCATTACCCCCAGGAGTCCCAGGAGCCTCTGCACTGAGGCCACCTCTGCCCTCAAAGCCTGAACCTAGGAAAACAGAGACCGGAAGAGAGGAGGGAGAGAGCCGAGAGGGAGCCGGGAGTGTTGAAGGAGATGGAAAAGAAGAAAAGAGAGATGGGAGGTCCAGAGGGGAAGGACAGTTCTGGCTTTGGTGCCCATCTCTTAGCCCAGGGTTCCATAGACACATTTTTATTACTTCTGAGGAAGTATCTCGGCCAACTGTAGGACAGTTCGCCAAATACCAGGCTGTTCCCAGTTTTCATACAGGTGTGGCAGGATTCCCCCTCAGGGTGACTTGGTTCCTGAATATTCCCTGGGGGTGGGTGTTGTGGGCAGTGTAGCTTCCAGAACAAGCAGCGATGGAGTTGGAATGTTGGAACAAGAAAGGAGCAGGGAGTCTGTCCCTCTGGCCAGCCCAGTCAGTCTTGTAGAAGAAGTCCCTCCCCACCCCAAACTGCCCACTAACTTGTGGTTGATTTGCTCTCTAATCCAAAAATTCCAAAACTGGTCCTCCTCCCAAGGTGACCCGGCCTGCCAGCCTGGGTCTGACCTGGTGAACTAAACAGCATCTCTAGCAGAAGCTAGTCTAGGCCAGTCAAAGCAACTAGAGTTACTGTGGATCGTTTTAGAAAGAGCAGGTCCCTCTGAGTGGGATCACCAGGTGACTGAGACGATGAAATGAATCAAATGAGACCATGCATGTGGCAAGGCCTGGACCAGAGCACATACGGGACTCGACCACAGCCAGGGGTTCCATCTCCAAGGGCTGAAAAGCAAGTGGCACGACAGAAACCAGGGTGTGTCTGGGCTAGGAAGTCTTCGAGTCATGACGCAGGCAAGGATCTACACAAAGAGCCCCTCTGACCTGTCTGTCTCTGGAGGGGTCCCATTGGGGCATTCTTAGAAGAGCCTGGGGAGTCTGTATATTCTCGGCCCTACTACATGCACATGAGCCCATGACCAGGATCCTAGAGAGGATCACAGGTTTCTTCATTTCAGAGAGTGGCACAACGCTTAGGTTCTGGGGTCCCAGACCTGGGTTTAAATTTGAATCTACCACATAGAGGCCATATGACCTTAAGCAGGTCCTTAACCTCCCTGAGCCTCTGTTTCCTCTTGTGTAAAATAGGTGTTATTCCCTCCTGAAAAATTTGGCGAGGATTAAATGAGATAATGCATAAACCATTTTCAGCACAGTTTGATAAATATAGGCATTATCAATTCTTTTTTAAAATTTATTCACTTTTGGCTGCACCACACAGCATCCAGGATTTTAGTTCCCCCACTGGGATTCAAGTTGTGTCCCCTGCAGTGGAAGGGTGGAGTCCTAATCCCTGGATGCCAGGGAAGTCCCTATGGGGTTCTTATTATTGTCGTCCCTGGGAGGTCAGTGACCCCCAACAATGAAGAATCTCTACTCTGCTAAAAAGGCAGCATGGTTTTCCCGGAGAGGAGAGAAGGCTCAATGGCCACTTGGGCCCCAGGTATCTTTTCATTCTCAGTGAGAGTAAAAGCTCAGAGTGGTCTGTGATGGGAGTCCAGAAGTTTGCTTCTTCAGTGTTAGAGAAGGTCAGGCCAAGGAGCCTGAGCCCCAAGTAGGATTATGAATGTGGGCTTGTTGTTGTTCAGTCGCCAAGTAGTGTCCCACTCTTTGTGACCCCATGGACTGCAGCACACCAGGCCTCGCCATCCTCCACCATCTCCCGGAGTTTGCACAAGTTCACGTCCATTGAATCGGTGATGCCATCCAACTAGCTCATTCTCTGTCGCCCTCTTCTCCTTCTGTCCTCAATCTCTCCCCGCATCAGGGTCTTTTCTAATGAACATGGGTTCAGAAAGGCTTGGGTACACACACACACACACACACACACACACACGCACACGCACGCACACACAAACATCCTCTGCCCATCCAGGCCTATATCTTCTCTGGGCCTCAGTGCTCCCAGATCTAGGTCTTGGTCTGCAGAGTCTTCTCTGGCCCCACAGCTAAAATGAAAGCTTTACCAAGTCAGGTTCCGTTTGGTGGACTTGGTCATGAAGAACCCCTTCTAATTCTCTCCTTAAGATTTCATTTGCCTCCAGTAACAACTACTGAAAGGTGTCACATAGACGATCATTTACCCAAGTACAATGAGTTTCAGCTTGCAGTGCTTTTTTGGACATTCTGAGTCTCGGAGGTGGCTCAGTGGCAAAGAATCGCCTGCCAATGCAGGAGACCCCAGTTCAATCCCTGGGTCGGGAAGATCCCCTGGAGAAGGAAGTGGCAAGCCAGTCCAGTATTCCTGCCTCGAGAATCCCATGGACAGAAGGGCCTGGCAGATTACAGTCTACGGGGTCACAAAAGAAGTCAGACATTCAACAACACTAAACAGCAACAACAAGCCTGGGGGGTAGGCAGGACAGCAGCATCAAACCGCCCTCCTTTTCCAGGAAGGAGACAGGGTCCACAACTTGCCGGAGGCGCCACAACTGGTGTGGGGCACAGGTGGGGTCCAAGGCTAGGTTTGTGAGTTCTGCTCTGGGCCTCCTTATGAAGGCCCTATCTGCAGGGGCTTCCCATTTGAGACTAAAGTGAACTCCCAGCACCTCTTCAGGGGTGTCTGTCCCTCCACTCAGGAATGGGGATGCAGAGACCAGTCAATTACTGGCTTGGGGAGTAATGGGCTGGGATTGTGTCTACAGGGGACAGTGAGTTCCCCTTGCTGGTTGTTGTCACTGTCTGGAAACAGCAGCTGGTCCTCTTGTAGGTCGGCCAGAGCAGCCATGTGTTCTGCCAGTAATTCTGAGCTCTTCTCTGGGCTTGACCTGGGTTTCCTTCGGCCACCTGGAACCTTTTGAAAGTCTTCATAGAGTGGCCACAGGACAAGATGAAAGGCAACCAGCTTTGACTTCAGATTGCATCCTTGACTTTGACTCCCGGGTCACTTATTAGCTGTAAGCAGAACTTTGAACAAAGCATTTCAGGCCTCTGTTCCTCATGTGGGGATAAAAATCCTAAAGTAAGTCTGAAGCTTGTTGGAGGTAATTTATGCCAAGAGCCAAGCATAGAAGCATGCAGTCAGCAAGTGGTACTTTTTCCCCTGTCCCGTTTGTCAGGCTGGCCTCATGAACAACTGCCTGGTAGATGATCACCCTGGGGGGTAGGGTGCGCTAAGTCCTGGAACCACTGCTGTATTTCACACAGCCCCTGGGCCCTGCAACCGGGCAGGCTCTCTCATCACTTCTCTCATGTTTGAATCTGGGACCCCACAACCCCGGCCAAGAAAAGGTGCTGATGGTCTCTGCTCCTTCTGCTTCTCGTAGCTTTGCACGGCAGCTTGGTCCTCCAGCAGACCCCTGCATCCTTGATGGTTCAGACCAACCAGACGGTGACTCTGTCCTGTAAAACCGAAACCTCACCTTCTAACACACGCATCTACTGGCTGCGGCAGCGCCAGGCCCTGAGCGCTAACAGTCACTATGAGTTCCTGGCCTACGGGGTGTCCGTCAATAAGACTGTGTATGGCAAGGAGGTGGAGCAGGAGAAGCTGACTGTGCTTGGAAATTCTCCCCGGAGCTTGCTCAAGCTCCAAAGTGTGAAGCCTGCTGACAGTGGTGTCTACTTCTGCATGATCGTTGGGGTACCCAACCTGATCTTTGGGAAAGGAACTCAACTGAGTGTGGGTAAGAATCTGGCTCAGTGCTACAGATGAGTACTGAGTACCTACTGGGTGCTGAGAGCGTGCCATGTCCTGGGATGGCTCCCATTCTCAGCGAGCCCTACTCGGAGGGAGGGGTTGACTTCCAGGAGCAACAGCACTACGGGTCTTTTTTTTTTTTCAAGACTGAAAGCTGTATTTGAAACTTTTTATTTTGTATTGGAGTATAGCCGATTAACAAACAATATCGTGATAGTTTCAGGTGGACAGCGAAGGGACTCAGCTATCCATATGCATGTATCCATTCTCCCCCGAACTGCCCTCCCATCCGGGCTACCACATAGCACTGAGCAGAGTTGCTACTGCTATACAGTAGGTCCTTGTTGGTTAACCACTTTAAATAAAGCAGTGGGTACCTGTCCATCCTAAACTCCCCTTAGCTATCCCTCCCTCCCATCCTTTCCCCTGGCAACCATAAGCCTAGTTCTCTAAAACACTACTGTTAATAGTAACAATAACCCAAAGCCAAGCTAATGCAAAGGTTGTATGTAGTTATTCCATTTCATGCTATCGACCACACTGGGAGGCAGGTGCTGTTTGATTCCCATTGGAGATGAGATGCTTTGGGGCATTGCTGCTTCTTCCAGTAACAGGACGGCATTCTAGGCCCATCTGAGGCTGAGGCTGGATTGGTCCAAGTCCCGACACCTGCTAGAAGTCCCCTCCCAGTGTGCCCACAGGGAAAGAATATCCTTGCTGCCTGGACATACCCAACAAGAGCATTTACACTGTGCATGGGGGCCCATGGCTTGAACCCACGCCCAGAGTTGCAGGGAGTAAGGAGGCTAGACCCCAGACCCAGCTGCAAATTTACCATATGCCCATGGGCAGGTCACTTCCCTCCCCAGGCCTCAGTTTTCCCATCTGTATCATGGGACTGCTAAGGACCTCCCTGATTCCCTCTGGCCCTTAGAAGCTGCAGTTCCTCAGAAGTTAAGTCAGCAAGTGCAGTGGAAATATATTGCGAGCCACAGATGTAATTTAAAAATTTTTAGGGAGTTCCCTGATGGTCCAGTGATTAGGACTCATCACTTTCACTGCCTAGGACCCTGATTCAATCCTGGGTCAGGAAACTAGGATCCCACAAACCTTGGCAAAAAAAACAAAATTCTAGAAAGTAGCCACACTCAAAAAAAAGTCAAAAGACATAAGTGAAATTAATTTAAATAATACATTTTGTTTAACCCAGTTTATGGACAATATTATTATTTCAGCATGAAATCAGTATGCAATTTATTACTGATATATTTTACATTTTCTTTTCGTACTAAGTGCTCGATGTGTATTTTACATGTACCAGCACATCTCGAGGCAGACTGGCCACATTAATGTGTTCTGTAGCACACGTGGCAGGTGGCTGAAGTTTTGGACAGTGAGGATTAAACTATCAAACGTGTGAATTCTCAAAGGTCAACGTCTGGCTTAACCCCCTCCCCAGATTAACTCATGGCCAAGGCCAACCCCCAGTGGGCCTCCCACTATCTTTCTTCCCTCTCACCTGAGATCTTCTCAGGCTGGAGCATTGAGAGTGACAGGGGGCCCCCACGAATTGGACCACTCAGCATGGGAGGTGCAGACATAGCAACATAATTAAGAAGACACAAGCAAGAGTGATGCTCTCTTCACATGTCACCAGCCTCTGATCTTTTTCATTTTTTTGTATTGGGTATAGCCAATGAACAATGTTGTGATAGTTTCAGGTGAAGAGCAAAGGGATTCAGCCTTACATGGACATGTATCCATTCTCCCCCAAACTCCCCTCCCATCCAGGCTGCCACATAACATTGAGCAGAGTTGTCTGTGCTACACAGTAGGTCCTTTTTGGTTATCCACTTTAAATACAGAAGTGTGTACGTGTCTATCCCAAACTCCCAAACTGTCCCTTCCTGCTCTGGGTCTTAAATCAGGAGGTGGGGAAGATGGAGAGAACGCTCGCACCAGAAGCTGAGGCATCGCTGGAGGGATGGGTGTTAACTGATTCTTGTATTGAACATTAGGCTCTTCAGAGTTTGGGGTTTGGTTTTCGTTTATTGTTTTTGTCTCTATAAGTCTCACACTTCCCACTCAAGAGATTTCAGGGGCTAAGAAAGGTGGATGGTAATGAGCAAAACTGGCTTTCAGGAGTCCCCCCACCTCCTCCACTACCTGCCCCCTCCTGGCTTTGAGCTTCCCAACCCCCTGACTCTGCCTGGCTCCCCGGGGATGGCAGTCTCTCCCCAAAGCACATGCTCCCCACCGTATCATCTCCCCGGGGGTCAGGACTCCAGACAAGAGCTCACCCTCTGGCTGAAAAGTCAGTACAGTTTAAAGAGGACTCTAGGATGCTAATGGGAAAGAACCCGCTGGCCAATGCTGGAGACATAAGGGATGTGGATCTGATCCCTGGGTCCGAAAGATCCCTTGGAGGAGGGCAGAGCAATCCATTCCAGTATTCTTGCCTGGAGAATCCCAATGGACAGAGGAGCCTGGCGGGCTACAGTCCTTAGGGTCGCATAGAGTTGGACACGACTAAATTGACTTACCACGCACTTGGATGGTAAAGAAAGTGTTGAGGGGAAGACAGGCTTTTTTCAGGCACCTCAAGACACCATGGGCTCAAAAGTCCTGCCCCTTTCAAAGAGGAGAGAAGTGGGGAGATTTGAACTGGGTGCGTGTGTGCTAAATCGCTTCATTTGTGTCCGACTCTTTGCGACCCTGTGGACTATAGTCTGCCAGGCTCCTCTGTCCAGGAGGATTCTTCAGGCAAGAATACTGGAGTGGGTTGCCATGTCCTTCTCCTAGGGATCTTCCTGACCCAGGGATCGAACCCTCATATCTTACATCTCCTGTATTGGCAGGCGAGTGCTTTACCACTAGCACCACTTGGGAAGGTGAGGGTGGGTAATCAAGAAGAGTAAAGGACTCCTGACTCTGTGCAAGAAGACATTAAAATCAGGGACTTCCCTGGTGGTCCAGTGATTAGGACCCCATGTTCCCAAGGCAGGGGGTGCGGGTTCAATCCCTGGTCAGGGAACTGAGAGCCTACGTGCCACGTGGTGTGGCCAAAAATTTAAACACAAAAAAATACAAGTTCCCCCACAAACTTCCCAACAGCCCCAGGCCATTGGGGTCTGTAGATCTGCCCCCTGCAGGCTCACCACTGCCCCAGTGGGAGCCTGTAGGAAGGAGGGAGATGAACACTTCTGGAGCAGTGAGGACTAAAAGGGCCAAGGGGAGGCCAGGCTGAGACACCCCAGCTGAGGGCCAGACTCCTCCCAGGCTTTCAGAACATGAAACTAAGACCATTCTCCCCCTTTACAACCGTTTTCTTCAACACTCTGATGACCTGAGGTGCTTAACTTTTAAAATTTTATTTATTTGTTTGTTTGGCTGCATCAGGTCTTAGTTGCTGCATGTGGGATCTTCGCTGCATCACGCAGGCTCTTTCAATGCGGTGCTCAGACTCCCTAGTTGTGGGGGCAGGCTCTAGAGAGCCCAGGTTCAGTATTTGCAGCACATGGGCTTGGCTGCTCATATCATGTGGGATCTTAGTTTCCTGACCAGGGATCAAACCCACCATTCCTGCATTGCAGGGCGGATTCTTTACCACTGGACCACCAGGGAAGACCCTGTGCTTAACTTTTTGCCAAAATACATTTGCCCCTTAGGCAATGTGTGGCGTGAGAATCTAATATAGGCATTCTTTGGCTCAAATGCTGGCCCTGCTATTTATTGGCTCTTAAACTTGAGCAAGTTCAAATAAGCAACTTGAACTTATTTCAACCCTCTGAGCCAAGGCTTCCTGGGGATAAAACAGAGAAACTAGTGCCCATCCCCAAAGTTGTTGGTTCAGTAAGCTTAAGCTGACGTGCTTGGCACAACCACTAGCATGAGGTAGGAGCTTGGTAAAGGTTAATCTGGTTAGCTGGTTCTTCTTGAAACCCCCAAGATCATGCAGAGCAGGGGGCACAATTTCTCTACTGCCCATGTCTCAGGGTGGTGAGGGTCCAAAGGGTCAACATTTTATATGGAAGATGCCAGACGTAAAGTATCAAACACTGGCTGCCTCTCCCAGTGCCCTTGACTCTAGAGTCCAAGTTCACGTGTCACACAATTCCCTCTCCTACCATTTTGCAGAAAATCAGTGAAATGCCTTTCCCCAACTGTCAGAGGCAGGGGATTGGATTCTCGAGCCTCGGTGTCTCCCTTTGCCTTGTGGGCTTGTCCCCCTGCCCTGTCCCAGCACTTCAGCCATATGACAGTGGTTTAGAATGAAAGAGAGGCATTACACACCAGGAGTCAGGAAAGGAACTTGCAGACCCCAGCTGGGCCCTTTGCTTTGTGGGGCCTCGCAGGGGTCAGTCCCTCACATCACTAGTGTTCTAGCTTTGAAATTAAAGGTTGAGATTAGTCTAAAGTCCCTCTGATAACATACATTTGCTTGGTTTTTTTTTTTTTTTTTTCGGTTGAGCGCCAAGGCATGTGGGGTCTCAGTTCTCTGACCAGGGATCGAAACTGTGCCCCCTGCCATGGAAGCACAGATTCTTAACCATGAGGTTGAGGAAGAAAATCTCAACCTACACAACCTCCCAACCTGCTTGGTATTGTCCACACAGAAAAAGGCACCACCTCCTTTCTTCCAGCTTCTTCCATTCGCATAGGGAGGAGGGCTCGGGGGTTGGTCGTGCCAAGGGCTAGGGGACTCCAGAGGTAGCTCAAGATCTTCAGCGAGGTGAAGCCATCCATACTAATCACTTTGCTGGGCTCACTGTCCCCTTTCATTCTCACAACTACCTTAGAAAGGAGATGGGGGTCACCTCACAAAGAAGCGATAGGACTTGCCCCTAGTCATTACTGTTGTTCAGTTGCTAAGTCATGTCTGACTCTTTGCAACCCCACGGCTACAGCACACCAGGCTCCTCTGTCCTCCTCTGTCTCCTGGAGTTTGTTCAAATTCATGCCCACTGGGACGATGATGCTCTCTAATCGTCACATTCTCACTGCCTCCTTCTCCTTTGACCCAGCATCAGGGTCTTTTCCAGTGAGTCAGCTCTTCAAGTCAGGTGGCCAAAGTGTTGGAGCTTCAGCTTCAGCATCAGTCCTTCCAATGAATATTCAGGATTGGTTTCCTTTAGGATTGACTGGTTTGATCTCTTTTCTGTCCACAGTGGTTGATCAGGGTTCTTGGGGCTCTTTTCATATCTGGATGGCTCCAGAGGCCCTCTCTCCAGGACACCAAGTTGACCTCCATCTCTGAGCCCTCAGATCCGTCTGAGAATTACTAGATCAAAAATCCCATTGATCTGTGACCTTCAAGCCCGTGACAGCCTAGGGAACACTAAGAAGGATTTTAATACCTGAGTATCAGACATGCAGTTCTAAGTTTTGTCTCTGAGTCCACCTGCTGTTTACCTGGTTAAGACATGTGTCTTGCTTGTTTTTGCAGTTGATGTACTTCCTACCTCTCCCCAGCCAACCAGGAAGACCAGCAGCCCTAAAAAGAAAGTGTGCCGATTCCCAAACCCAGTAACTCGGAAAGGTGAGTTCTCCCATTTCTCTGGGTTCTCAGAAGCACAGCCAACACTCTTCTCCCCTCTCTCCCTCCCTTCCTTCCACAAACTCTTCCCAAGTGTGGACTCTAGCCTGTTTCTCTAGCCCTGAGCTGGAGTCTAAAGGAGAGCTGAGTGCAACAGCAGTGCTGTTTTCCAATCGCTCATATTCTAGTGGGGGACACACTCGTAAATCGTCACAGGACAAAACTTAATGAAGGACTCAGTGCTCAGTCGCTAAGTCGTGTCTGACTGTTTGCAACCCCGTGAACTGTAGCCCGACAGGCTCCTCTGTCCATGGACTTTCCCAGGCAAGAATACTGGAGTGGGTTGCTGTTTCTTTCTCCAGGGGATCTTCCCCCAACCAGGGATGGAAATTGCATCTCCTGCGTTGGCAGGTGGATTTTTTTACTACCAAGCTACCAGCACCCCTAATGAAGGATCCATCTGCCCAACACTTGCACACAAATGTTCCCAGCAGCATTATTCTTTGTTTCTGTTGTTGTTAAGCTTTTATTTGTTTTTTGGCTGTGCTGGGTTTTCACTGCCACACAGGCTTTTCTCTAGTTGTGGTGCACAGAAGCTACTCTCTAGTTGTGGTGCACAGGCAAGCAGCAGCTTTCCCTGAAGTCACATTTTGGGGAGGTGATCACACTTCACCAAGGACCTTTAGCTGTGTCTAGGTCTCTGGTTCAGGTCATAGCTCAGGAGGCCTCCCCTGACACCTCTCCACCCAGAAGAAAGGGGTCTTTCTACCTTCCACATCCCTGCAGTTTATGCCCACCTCCATTACTTAAAACTTTATCCCAGCATAATCTGCATGTCATAAAATTCTAAGTGCACAACTCAGTAATTTTTAATAAATTTACCGAGTAATGCATCTATCACCACAAACTAGTTTTAGAACATTTCCATCAAACTCTCAGATCCCTTTTGCCTATTTATAGTTAATCTCTGTCCACCCTCCCAGCCCCTGGCAACTGCTAATCTACATTCTGTCACTATAGATTCATCTCTCCTGAACATTTCGTACAAATGGAATCATATGGTATATGGTCTTTCATGCCTGGTTTCTTTCACTTCGCATCACATTTCTGAGTTTCATCCAGGTTAGGAAACCCATGGAGATGAGAGGGAGGCAGACAGAAGCTTCACATCTCAGAACGGAAAAGGACCTCCCAGGGCCTCTCACCGAACTTTCCCCTTCGCGTGGCACCAGCCAGCCTTGGTGATGGTGGTTCCCTCCCCAAGAGCAGCCAATGCCATTTCCTTCCTCCCTTCCCCACCCTGCCTCTCCCCACCACCTCTCCTGCCCTAAAGCTGTAGCCATGAGACTGGCAGGGACTGTAGAACTCAGGGGACTTGAGTCTGTATCCAGGCCCTGCTTTTTACTATCCAGGTGGCCTTGGGCAGGTAATCGAACTTCTTTGAATCTTCTTTTTTCTGAACTGTAAAATGAGAGATAAAAATGATAGTAATTCCTTCCTTTCTTCCATTCACAAGTTGGAAGTTTGCAGTTAGTACTGTACTTGACACATAACAGATCTTCAGTAAACGTTCTACCCCTTCTCTGACATCCAAAACTTTCTTTTTCAACCTTGGGCATCAGTCTGTTGCCTTGCCTTTTTCACCCATGGGTCCTGATTCTGCCAGCTTAGCCACTCACAAGGACCAGTCATAGGGAAAGGAAGAGTATCAGAGAAGGATTTGGGGTATCAGTTTATATTTGATATAAATTCTGCTATTTACATAATTTACAAAATGTGTAGAAGGACAAATAGGCAACCCATAGAAGAAAAATCATGCATGGTCAATACATGAAAATGGCTGAAATTGGCAAGTAGGAAATTGAAATGAAATATTATTTTTCACCCACTGCTCTGTAAAAATTAAAATCTCTGATAATGTCAGGGGTAGGCAGGGTACATGATTGGTGATTAGGAATGGAAATCAGTGAAGCCTTTTTGCAAGGCATTTTACAATATCTGTTATTATTGAAAATGGATATAGACTATGGTTAGTTGTTCTTCTTTTCAGTATCTGCCTTGGGCAGGCTCCTGCACAGGGAGAAACATACCTGGATGTTCTCTGCAGCCTTATTTGTAAAATGCAAAAAAAAAAAAAAAAAGTACATTAATGGCTAAATAATCCATGGTACAGCCATACTTCAGATGACATGCTATTAGAAAAAAGAATATGCTGGCATGTTTAAGAAAAAAGACTGGTTGCAGAACAATTTGTACTGTATAAGCCTCTGTATTTTTAAAACTATATGTGCTACAATGAACATTGGGGTACATGTGTCTTTTGCAATTATGCTTTTCTCAGGGTATATGTCTAGCAATAGGATTGCTGGGTCATAGTGGTTTCATTTTTAGTTTTTTAAGGAATTGCCATACTGTTCTCTATAGTGGTTGTATCAATTTACATTCCCACCAACAGCGCAAGAGGGTTCCCTTTTCTCCACACCCTCTCCAGCATTTATTGTAGACTTTTTGCTGATGGCCGTTCTGACCAATGTGAGGTAATGGGAAATTGCTGTATAGTATAAGGAGCTCAATCTGGCAATCTGTCATAACCTAGATGGGTGGGAGCGAGGTTCCCGAGGGAGGGGACCTATGTATACCTATGACTGACTCATGTTGATGTATGGCAGAAGCCTACACAACACTGTAAAGCAACTATCTCCAATTAAAAATAAATTTTAAAAAAACTATATGTGATGTGTCTATGTAAATTACATATAGGCAAATTAACAATGGTAATTATTTCTGTGAAGGAGCTACAGTGAAAATACATTCAGCTATTTCTTCTAAAATTAAAATTTTTTTAAATAAATACTAAAAATCCCATTACCAGGCATGCAAATTGTCTATCTCATTTTGAATAAAAGTAGCTACTGAGTTTGTCAACTCTTTAAATTTGGATGTGGGACCTGAAGATTGGGCTTCCCTGGTGGCTCAGACGGTAAAGCATCTGCCTGCAATGTGGGAGACCCAGGTTCGATCCCTGGGTCAGGAAGATCCCCTGGAGAAGGAAATGGCAACCTACTCCAGTATTCTTGTCTGGAAAATTCCATGGATGGAGGTGCCTGGTGGGCTACAGTCCATGGGGTCGAAAAGAGTCTGACAAGACTGAGCAACTTCACTTTCACTTTCCTGAAGTTTTATATATGAAATGATTTCAATATGTTTAAAGAGCCTAGAAAAGACTAGAAAGAAGCATGCAAAAAAAGTGGTATTCTCTGAGTGACGGGTGGGGCTTCCTGTGGATTTTTCCCTCTTTGTATTTATCTGCACATCTCAAATGTTCATTCAGCACGTGTGTGTTTTCTAGGTCTGTCCTGCACCCCGCTCATCATCGGCCTGCTGGTGGCCGCTGTCCTGATTCTTCTGGTGTCCTTAGGTGTGGCCATCCACCTGCGATGTAAGTTCTGCCCTCTTGGGCCGCCATGTGCATGTGTTTGCTCAGTCGCTCAGGCGTGTTCTGCTCTTGCAACCCCAAGGACTGTAGCCCGCCAGGCTCCTCTGTCTATGCGATTTCCCAGGCAAGAACACGGGAGTGGGTTGCCGTTTCCTTCTCCAGGTGGATTGTCATCACCTGGCAAGCCTGGATCTTCATGGTGACTCCTTTTGCTGTTGGATGTGTCCCCCAGGGTCCTTTCTTCTCTAGGGGAACAGGGCAGGTGGCAGCCTGGTGGGAAGTTTGCTCCTCCAACCCCAAACACTTGATAATTCCCAGAAGTGATTCTTGGCCTGAGGCCAAGCTGCAGGAGTCAGAGACCACCCCATCTCTGGAGTCAGACAAACCTGGATTTGAATTCAACTCTTGATCTAGCGACTTGGGCAGATGCCCTGGCCCCCTTGAGGCTCAGCGGCCCTACCCAGGGTAACTATATTACCTACCTCCCTGGGTTGTTTTTGTAAAGTCCTGCCCCAGGGCATGTACTCTATAAGCAGGAACACCCAGGAGCATTTGGGGTGGAAACAGTGCACGGAAATTGCACTGGGGGTTGCATTTCACTCCCCAAAGCTAGAAATCCTCCCCTTGAGGCTGTTGGGAAACTCAGAGATGGTTTCCTGTTCTCGGCCACTTCAGGGGTAGGATCACCTCCTTCTACGGGCCTCCAGGGGAGCTGGTGGCTCAGATAGTAAAGAATCTGCCTGAAATGCAGGAGATCCGGGTTTGATCCCTGGGTTGGGAAGATCCCCTGGAAAAGGGAATGGCAACCCACTCCAGTATTCTTGTCTGGAGAATTTCATGGACAAAGGACCTGGTGGGCTACAGTCCATGGGGTCACGAAGAGTCAGACTTGACTGAGAAACTAACACTTTCACTTTCAGGGGACTTTCAGGGGAGGCCAGCACAGCTGGTCAAGAGCCCAGAGCCCCAGACTCTACTCCTGACCCTGCTGCTCACTGGTGCACTCTGGGCTTGAGCGAGTCACTCACCCTCTCTGGGCTTCTATAAAATGAGAGGGGTTGGCCCACTGGAACATGGACTAGGTCAGTGGCTCTTTCATAAGTCACAGACCCCTTTGAACATATGATCACAATTATGGACCCCCTCTACAGGGAAATGCATGGTGTGCACACTTTTGCATACAATTGCCTCCCAAAAAAGGATCAATTTATTTCATTCTAAGAACTTTTAGAGCAGGGGTCTGCAAATATTTTGCTCAATGAACTCATCATTGAGTTTTTTCATTGAAAAAAATCTTTTAATTATAAATACTAACTGCAACTAACTGTATTTTTAATATATTGTGTATGTATATATTTAATATATACTTATAAATATTTATTTAATAAATTATTAACATTTATGTTAGCTGGGTTTATTTAATATGTTGCATTAGCCAAAATGTTGGTTCACATTTCTCTGTACCATCTTATAGAAATCCCAGCTAAACTTTTTGGCCAACTCAGTACTGTGTATGTTATTAAATGTTCTTCAGAAACAAAAAGGATGAGATAAACATGAAAATACACATGCTCATATTTCCTTCTTACATCCCAAGGGGAAATCTTGTACACCCCCAGAGTCCACAAGCTCTGGTTTAAGACCACCTGTCTGTACAGCCTCTCCTTCGTGACCTGCCATGAAGGGCAAGATGGTGCATTCAAGGGCACACAATCACTCACTCACTAGCTACAGGATTTTAAGCAAGTTACTCAGTTACACACTCGCTCTCTAGATCAGTTTCCCCATCTGCAAAATGAGATAATAAAGGTAGTATTCAACTCATAGCATTAAAGGAGTTAAAACCCATGAAATGTTTGGAGCAGAGCCTGGAACCAAAGAAGTGGTTCTAGGTGTTAGCTGTCCCTCTCATCACTCTGCTTGCTCTCTGGGGCTTGGTATCTGTAGTTCACAACCCACATCAACCCGTACCTTTTGTTTCCTCCTTCCAGGCCTGCAGAGGAGAGCCCGGCTTCGTCTCTTAAAACAGTAAGTGGTTGGGGTCTTGAAAAAGTGCCCAGCCTGCAGCCCTGGGTGTGGCCCTGGCTTTCTCACCCTGGCAGCTGCTCACAGGCATCTGAGGAGCCCCAGCCAGACACTACCTTCAAAAACTCACACACTGTATAAGTAGGTGTGGTGATGGAGTTCAGGCAAAGAGAGAAACTAAGCAAACAGAATACTGGCTAGTTGTTTAAGTTTATGTCAAGTGTGGTAAGATTTAGTTCTTAGCTTTTCTGAGGATAACAGTGAATTCTTTTCTTTTTTGTTTTTTCCTAATTGCAGTATAGTTGATTTATATTGTTGCATTCGTTTCAGGTATACAGCAAAGTGATGCAGTTATATATATTTTATTTTTCAGATTCTTTTCCACTATAGGTTATTGAATAACCAACTCCTGCTTGGTTAGAACTAGTAGGATATCCCAAACTTTTTGCCACCTGTTATTTCATTAAACTTGGTCCTGCATGACATAAGAGGGTTATTTTTACAGACCAAGATTTGCTCAAAGCACTTGGGGCAGTAGAGAGAAGAATGGAACTTGAAGACAAGTCAGTTGACCCCAAGGGCAGTGGAATTCCTTCCTGGCTAGTGTTGTGTGTTGGACTTGACCCCACCTGGGTCCCAGGAGTCAGCAAACCCACTAGCTGATGCACACAGACACAGGGGCAACACGCTTGCTCTTCAGGCCCACTGAATTGTGTAAGCTCCAGCAGAAGCCAAGGCTGCTTGCTGCTTCCATACTGAAGGGCTTCTGGATCCGTATTTGGTCATGGGCAGTGCCCTTGGACTGCTTTTTCTGCCTCAAAACAGAGATAGTTTCACATCTACCTATCTCATTAATTACATTCCCCTCTATGTAGGGGTGTTTGAAAAAAAAAAAGAAAGTTCCTGCCCTTAGATTGAGGATCAAGAGCTCTGGCTCCATTCAAGCAGATCTTGGTTTGAATTCTGTCTGCTACTCACTATCTTTGTGACTGCAGGCAAGTCACTTCACCTCTCTGAGCCTCTGATCCCTCATGGGACAGCAGTAACAACCACATGGCTATTGTAAGGATTTACTGGGGAAACACCTTCCAGATGCTCAGCTCCTGTATTCTTGGAGTTCAAGCACCAGCTCATGCTACTTACAAAAGACAATTTTATGAGCCCAACACCCAAGACACAAAATGTTTTTTTGTTGATTATAAATGACATACAATATTATACTAGTTTCAGGTGTGCAACATACAAAGTATTTTTTAAATGTTTATTTTTATTTATTTACTTATTTTTGGCTATGCTGGGTCTTCACTGCTACACAGGCTTTTTTCCAGGTTAGGTGAGCAGGGGCTACTCTCTAGTTGTGGTGCAAGGGCTTCTCATTGTGGTGGCTTCTCTTGTGGAGCACAGGCTCTATGGTTCTCAGGCTTCAATAGTTGCAGCTCCTGGGCTCCAGAGTACAGGCTCAGTAGTTGTGGCGCACTGGGCTTAGTTGCCCTGAGGCAAGAGGGATCTTCCTAGATCAGGGATTGAACCTGTGTCTCCTGCATTGGCAGGCAGATTCTTAACCACTGAGCCACCAGGGAAGACCACAATGTACTTTTAAATATTGTGAAATTATAAATTTTCAAACATACTCATTATACTATATGTTCTACATTATCATGCACATTGTATTTGTATATATTTATACATGTTGTATTATACAGTTGCTTAAACATGCCTGTTAACGTTTCATATGTTTTTGATGATAATTTTTGTGGGGTTTTTTTGGGGCTGTACTGGGTCTTTATTGCTGGGAGCAGACTTTCTCTAGCTGTGGTGTGCAGGCTTCTCATTGTGGTGGCTTCTCTAGCTTCAGAGCACAAGCTCTGGGCGCGTGGGCTTCAGTACTTGGGGCTCCTGGGCTCTAGAGTGTCAGCTCAGTAGTTGCGGTGCACAGGCTCAGTTGCCTCACAGCTGGAATCTTCCAGAACCAGGGATCAAACCCGTGTCCCCTGTATTGGCAGGCAGATTCTTAACCACTGGACTACCAGGGAAGTCCTTCGATGATCATTTTGATGGTCTGCAATTTTTAATTTATGTGCTGGATTTAGAAACTCCCCCACATTTAGGACACAGTAACTTAAGAGTTTTTGCTCACCCTAGACCTCCGGTGTGTTTCGTCCATCTCTTCCTTGTGGTGACCTTTTATGGAAAATGTCTCCCCCTCAGGGTACTGCCTGTGACTCTACCTCCCTCCCACCACTTTGTTTTAACTTGTTCCCCTGATGATTTGATGCCAGTTTAGGGGGAGTCTGTTGCCAGACCTCATGCTGTGCCAAACCCAGGGGTTCTAAGGATCAGGTCAGGCAAGCAAGGGGCTGGGAGTGGCCTTAGGTGGGAACCAAGCCCCTTCACCCTCTTCATTCCAAAGAGCTCTCCTCTCATCCATTGCCCATAGTTACACTTACCTGTAAGACGTCCTTGAACAAAAGGGTCTGAGGCTAAAAGAAGTTTGAAAACCACCTCTGGGTTTATTCTCAGGATCCAGGTGTGGATGAAATAGTCCCTGGGCCTCAAAGAGCAACTGTTACAAATTCAAGTTGCAGTTTGGGGCAGACATTCCCCACCTGCTAACTGGCTTTAGAAAATCATCCGTCAGCAGGTCGTCTTCCTCTGGTCCCTTAGTGCACATGAGTGAATCCCTTATCTTAGAAGGCACTGCAAGAGGTAACACTATTCAAAGCTAGAGTTCTTAGGGCTGCATTTTTTTAAGCATTTTAATTTTTTGTGTGTGTCTTAAACAATAGTCTTTATGTTTACACAAAACAGTACAAAGTGAGGCAGTTCCTCAAAAGGTGACTTGGAGCTAGAAAATCCATCCTGAGCATGAAAGTGTTCTCATTAGCTACTAAGTCATGTCCAACTCTTTGCTACCCTATGGACTGTAGCCTGCCAGGCTCCTCTGTCCATGGGATTTCCCAGACAAGAATACTGGAATGGGTTGCCATTTCCTTCTCCAAGCATTTTTAATTTTTCCTTAATGACGAAGATGGGCCTTAAAAACACTCTAACACAAAACTCTTGGCCGTAGGCTAGTTACTGGGACTAGAGCCCTGCATCCTGAGGAGTTATTTATCTCTGTTACAGGAAATTCAATAGCATTAGCCTGAAAATAAGTGGTTTCACAAGTTGCCTGTTGTTTTCAGGTTTTACAAGTGATCAGAGAATACGTTTTCTGGTGTCCCGCTACAAAAATACATGGTCAGTGATGAGCGAGATCCAGAAAAATGAGAAAGAATGGACACATTCAGCCATGGAAATGTCACTGAAACTGCAGAAGCTGCCTGTTTTTAACTACTGCAAGTTCTTTTTATGGGCCTCATGCGTGGAATCAACTTGTTACATGGTCACTGGCAATCTTAGAGAGAAGGCTTCAGAACCCCACGGCACTTCCTGCTACTTGCAAGGCACTCTGGAGGACTGAGTACAAAATGGCACGCAGTGCATCACTTCTGGCTCCTGTAACTCAGCCTGGGTTGGGCTGGGAACTTTGTGTTGACCATCCAGCCACCGAATTTCTTTGCCCAGGTAGGGCAATGACACTGAGACCCGAATCTCTCATGGGATGGTGATGGGCTGGGTCCCCTTGGTCTTCCCAGGCCGGGGCTAACCCTTTCCACAGGGTGCCCCTGAGAGCAGACCCAGATTGGAAATGAGGCTTCCAAGGGGCTGATCTGGCTCTCAGGGTCACTTCAGTTTCTGAGAACCTCCTTTGGGGCTGGGAACTTGCGGTCTGGAGGACAAGAGACCCCTTGATCTCCTGCTAGGAAGTTCTGCTTTCACTTCTGCCCTCCCATGGTTTATATATTTCTTCTCTTGCTCGCTGTTCCTTTTATGATAATATCTTGGTTGTAACAATAAAGCCTTGAGTAAAAAGATGCAGATGGCTCCTGTGTTATAAATGCACAAAAGCTCATCTGTGCGGCAAAGATGTTGGTGCTCAGTTAAAAAGAAATTAACAAGGTTAAAATGACTATGGCTTCATTCTGCATCAAGCTCCTCGTATGTTCGTGCTAAGTTGCTGTAGTTGTGTCCTATCCTGCAACCCTGTGGACTGTAGCCCGCCAGGCTCCTCTGTCCATGGGATTCTCTAGGCAAGAATACTGGAGTGAGTTGCCATTTCCTTCTCCAGGGGATCTTCCCAAGCCGGAATTGAACCCACATCTCTTATGTCTTCTGCATTGGCAGGAGGGTTCTTTACCATTAGCACCACCCTCATTTGCCCCCAAACATGCCCTAGTCCTCTTTGTAGCTGTAGAGAAAGCCTGGAGGGGATGGAGCCTAGAGCCAAGAAGCAGATGCCTCCAAGGCCAACCCCCGCTCCAGCCCAACCCCCAAACTGCTTTCACTAACACCTACCTGTTCGTTTCTACTGAGCATGGAACCCTGGGGACGCCTGGCCATGAGGCAGGTGAACTTGCACCAAAGAAGAGGTGAGAGAGACTTCCCTGGTGGTTCCGTGGTTGGGACTACACCTTCCAACGCAGGAGACAGGTTCAGTCTCCCCAGTTTGGGGAGCTGGGATCCTGCATGCCTCTTGGCCAAACAACCAACACATAGAACAGAAGCAGTGTTGTAACAAACCAAATAAAGACTTTAAAAATGACCCACATCAAAAAATAAAAAGAGAGAGAGAGGAAGGTGAGAGACCTCAGGGTCTCTGCCACATGTCCATTAATATTTTACTGTCTCTCAACTTCAGTAGTCAGAGAAGAAAGATACAAGGAGAAGATGCTGAGCTGAAGTGGAGGAGTCATAAGAGCCCCTGGATCTTATCTTAGTTTCCCAGCCTGCACTTGAGCAACTTAAGAGCTATCGGGCCAGAGAAGAATTCAACATTTGGTCACGTTAACAGGAGCACACGACCCAGGTCAAAGGAGGAAAGAGTCCCACCTGCATTTCCTGGCCTGCCCTGGGCTGGGAGGTGTAATTTAAGAAAGGCAATGACAAACCAGGCTCTGTGCAGAGGTCTCTGGCAGCCACAGAATGTGACTGTGACCTGGGCTGGTGTGAAATATTTTCTGGCATCTGAAAGTTTCCCTGTGGAGTTAGGGGCAGGGCAGGTCTAGGTATGGTGGATGGGAGTCAGAAGGGCTTAGATGAAGGAAGTGAGGAAGAGAAGCAAGCATTTTCTGCCCACGAGCTGTGAGGTCAACAGAACAGGTTGTCTTCTGAGGCTGACGGGTCATCTGAAAGGGCCAGGTTAATCTAGACCAGAGTCCTCCAGGGTTCACTTTGCTCCAAGATGCCCGATTTAGTAGTGTAGTGTTAGTCGCTCAGTCGTTTCTGACTCTTTGCAACCCCACAGACTGTAGCCCACCAGGTTCCTCTGTCCATGGAATTCTCCAAGCAAGAATTCTGGAGTGGGTTGCCATCTCCTCCTCCAGGGGATCTTCCCGACCCAGGGATTGAACCTGGGTCTCCCGCATTGCAGGTGGACTCTTTACCATCTGAGCCACCAGGGAAGCCTGGACCAGAGTCCTCCAGGGTTCACTTAGCTCCGAGATGCCCTATTTAATAAGAGACTAAGGCCCAGATGTGCACTCTGCCCTCCCTGAAGGTCACACCCTGTCCGCAGAGGAAGTTAAGAGCAGGCCTCAACAGCCTCATTCCTCTACAAGCCCTGCTATTTAACTGCATCTCCCAGCCGTTGTCTTTGCGGTAGTGTTTAGTTGTTTGCACGTTCTCATGGAGTGAGGTTTGGGGGTCTGGGTGGGGGAGGGGGGCCCCCTCTGTTTTCAGTGCCGTGTGGGCTCCATCTGCCTTGGGAGCCAGGTGTATAGACTTGGCTGCCAGTGAGAGGGGGCTGCGGTGAGGACGTTTGCACTCAGCACCTGACTTGTTTTGAAGAAGTAACAGAGCATTTATTGCTTTCTGTAGGGCTGTTACAGCAAAATATCCAAAAATGTTTCTTGATTTAGCTATCTTTTGACTAGCAGTTTCACTCATCGGTGTGTATCTTAAAGAAACACATCCCAGCGTGTATCTCAACGAAACACATCCCAAAGTGATGTGGCATAGAAATATGCATCAGGTTGTTCCTTGGACTGTTGCCTGTGAGCCAAAAATTGGAATCAATCCAAATGTCCCTTAAAAAGAGCCAGTTAGATCAAATGCTGTGCAAGGGACTCCATGTAACTGTGAAGAAAAGAACCAATGCCTATTCACTGCCATCAAATGATGACCACTACATCTGCATCTATTTTAACATCTGTATGGATTATTCTCTTTTTATTATTTATTTATTTTGGCCTCACTGTGAGGCACGTGGGATCTTAATTCCCCAATCAGGACTCGAACCTGAATCCCCTGCAGTGGATGCACAGAGTCTTGACCACTGGACTGCCTAGAAAGTCCCAGATTATTCTCATTTTAAATGTAATACATGGTCACTGTTAAAATTCAAGCACAGATTTTAAAAAACAGGCAAATGTATGTAAGTTAGAAGTCAGGATATTGGTACCCTTGGTGCAAGGATGATCATGAGAAGGGAGCAGAGGTTTGGGGTGCACATGTTTTGTTTTTCCATGTGGGAGCTGGTCCCAGGGGGTATTCAGTTTGTGAAAAGTCATAGAGCTGTATAGTCATGAGATGTCAACTTTCATATTGTGGCTTAGTCACTAGGTCGTGTCGACTCTTTTGTGATCCCAAGGACTATAGCCCACCAGGCACCTCTGTCCATGGAATTTCCCAGGCAAGGATACAGGAGTGGGTTGCCATTTCCTTCCCCAGGGGATCTTCCTGACTCAGGGATTGAACCTGCATCTCCTGCATTGCCAAGCAGATTCTTTGCCACTGAGCCACCTGGGAAGCCCTCAACTTTCATATATAGCTATGGAAATAGGTGTACATTATACTTCTATAAAGAGATAGTTTAAAAATCGAAGTACAGAACGTTGCAGAAATGTGTAAAATTGGTATTTGAAAGTTTCTTGTTCTTCCAGAATGTACTTTTTTAAAAAATTTATTAAAAGTTCCACATACTTTTTATTTATTTATTTATTTAAAATTCTGTCTTATCTTTTTAAAAAATTTATTTCTTTTTACTTACTTGGTTGTGCTAGGTATTAGTTGCAGTATGTGGGAACTTTTAGTTGCAGCATGTGAACTCATAGTTGGGACATGTAGGATCTAGTTCTCTGAAAAGGGATGGAAACCAGGCCCCCTACATTGGACCACTGGGCCACAGGGAAGTCCCCCTCTATGTACTTTCTAAACCAAAACTTAGAATCTTATAAAATATAATGTATAATATAAAACATAGAACATAGAATCGTTTTGCTTGATTTTTTTCTCTAATAATATATCGAGACCTCTGGACATGTTTGTTCCTACATTCATAGAAAAAAGTCTGGAAAGAGATTCCAAACTGTTAATGGCAATTACACTGGGGAATTTCCATTTCTGCATCATACATTTCTACAGTCTGTGAATTTTTTTTTTTTTACAACAATCACCTTTTACTTTTATAATTGGGGAGAAAGAAAAAGCTTAGAAAAAAGAAACAGCTTCTGTTAAAAGAGGCTCTGATGACTGTAATATTAAAAAACTGGAATCAGTTTAAATAGCCATCAATGAGGGATTTGTTCCTAAATCATGATTTTTAAAAATCTGTACAATGGAAATCAGTGATACACGCTGAGGTGGCTGGCTAACAGGGTCTTACTCTACCAGCTCTATAACCTTGAGCAAGCTATTTGACCTCTGTGAACCTGTTCTTTCCTTTGAAATGGGGGCTCCAGAGGTATCTCCTTCTTGATCTTGCTGTTGGCCTTGAATGACCACAGATAGGAGGGTCTGGGGCAATGCTGGTTTCCTCCCCTCCCTTCCTCTCAGTGGGAAGCAAGGGTTCCCCCCTCCCCCAGTGGAGGCCAAGTTCAAAGGAGGAAGGAGGCTCTCACATCCCCTTCCCTTACATCCTGACTCAGCCCCACCCTCACCCCCACCGGCTGCTCTCTACCTGTAGGAAGTGAGCAACTTGTTTTCAGAACGTGATCCCCGGCCCCCCAGTGTGGGCTGCCGAGCTGATCCGAATCTACCACCCCAGTCAAAGGGAAAGAGAGAAAGAGCCCTGTGTTCAGGGGCCTTTCCAGGTGTGGAGGACAAAAAGAGGTTTCCTCTGTTGCTTCTTGGGAAACCTCCTCAGATGCGTCACCGAC